ATAATAAAAATCTCGACAACAGACTACCTTCCATAATGATAAGGCTACCATCCATTGGAGTAACAAAAATATTAAAACAGACTACCTTCCATAATGACAAGGTTACCATCCATTGGAATAACAAAAATCTCGACAACAGACTACCTTCCCTAATGACAAGGCTACCATCCATTGGAGTAACAAAGATATCGACAACATACTACCTTCCATAATGTCAAGGCTAACATCCATTGGAGTAACAAAAATATCTACTAAAGACTACCTTCCATAATTACAAGGTTACCATCCATTGGAATAACAAATATCTCGACAAGAGACTACCTTCCATCATGACAAGGCTACCATCCATTGGAGTTACCAAAATCCAAACGACAACCTACCTTCCATAATGAAATGGCTACCATTCATTGGAGTAACAAAAATCTCGACAACAGACTACCTTCCATAATGACAAGGCTACCATCCAATGGAATAACAAAAATATAAACAATAGACTACCTTCCATAATGATAAGGCTACCATCCATTGGTGTAACGAAAATCTCGACAACAGACTACCTTCCATAATGACAAGGCTACCATCCATTGGAATAACAAAAACATCTACAATATACTAAGTTCCATAATTACAAGGCTACCATCCATTGGAGTAACAAAAATCTCGACAACAACCTACCTTCCATAATGACAAGGATACCATCCATTGGAGTAACAAAAATCTCGACAATAGACTACCTTCCATAATGACAAGGCTACCATCCATTTGACTAACAAAGATATCGACAACAGACTACCTTACATAATGTCAAGGCTACAATCCAATGGAGTAACAAAAATCTCGACCTAAGACTACCTTCCATAATTACAAGGTTACCATCCATTGGAATAACAAATATCTCGACAACTGACTACCTTCCATCATGACAAGGCTACCATCCATTGGAGTAACCAAAATCCAAACGACAAGCTACCTTCCATAGAGACAAGGCTATCATCCATTAGAGTAAAAAAAATATCGACAATAGACTACCTTTCATAATGACAAGGCTACCATCTATTGGAGTAATAAAGATATCGATAACAGACTACCTTCCATAATGACAAGGCTACCATCCATTGGAGTAACGTAAATATCTATAACAGACTACCTTCCATAATGACAAGGGTGCCATCCATTGGAGTAACAAAAATCTCGACAACAGACTACATTCCATAATGACAAGGCCACCATCCATTGGAGTAACAAAAACATCGACAACATACTACATTCCTTAATGACAATGCTAGCATCCATTGGAGTAACAAAAATCTCGACAACAGACTACGTTCCATAATGACAAGGGTACCTTCCATTGGAGTAAAAAAATCTCGACAATAGACTACCTTCCATAATGACAAGGTTACCATCCATTGGAATAAAAAAAATATGGACAACAAACTACCTTCCATAATGACAAGGCTACCATCCATTGGAGTAAAAAAAATCTCAACAACAGACTACCTTCCATAATGACAAGGATACATTCCATTGGAGTAACAAAGATATTGAAAACATACTACCTTCCATAATGACAAGACTACCATCCATTGGAGTAACAAAAATATCGAAAACAGACTACCTTCCATAATGACAAGGTTACCATCCATTGGAATAACAAAGATTTGAACAACGGACTACCTTCCATAATGACAAGGCTACCTTCCATTGGAGTAAAAAAGATATCGACAACAGACTACCTTCCATAATGTCAAGGCTACCATCCATTGGAGTAACAAAAATATCTACTAAAGACTACATTCCATAATTACAAGGTTACCATCCATTGGAATAACAAATATCTCAACAACAGACTACCTTTCATCATGACAAGGCTACCATCCATTGGAGTTACCAAAATCCAAACGACAAGCTACCTTCCATAGTGACAAGGCTATCATCCATTGGAGTAATAAAAATCTCGACAACAGACTACCTTGCATAATGACAAGGCTATCATCCATTGGAGTAACAATGATTTGAACAACAGACTACCTTCCATAATGACAAGGCTGCCATTCATTGGAGTAACAAAAATCTCAACAACAGACTACCTTCCATAATGACAAGGCTACCATCCAATGGAATAACAAAAATCTAGACAACAGACTACCTTCCATAAAGATAAGGCTACCATCCATTGGAGTAACAAAAATCTCGACAACAACCTACCTTCGGTAATGACAAGGATATCATCCATTGGAGTAACGAAAATATCGACAACAAACTACCTTCCATAATGACAAGGCTACCATCCATTTGAGTAACAAAGATATCGACAACAGACTACCTTACATAATGTCAACGCTACCATTCATTGGAGTAACAAAAATCTCGACTAAAGACTACCTTCTATCATGACAAGGCTACCATCCATTGGAGTAACCAAAATCCAAACGACAAGCTACCTTCCATAGTGACAAGTCTATCATCCATTGGAGTAAGAAAAATCTCGACAAGAGACTACCTAAATAATAACAAGGCTATTATCCATTGGAGTAAAAAAAATCTTGACAATAGACTACCTTCCATAACAACAAGGCTACCATCTATTAGTGTAAGGAATATCTCGACAACAGACTACCTTCCATAATGACAAGGCTACCATCCATTGGAGTAACAAAAATCTCGACAACAGACTACCTTCCATAATGACAAGGCTACCTTCCATTGGAGTAAAAAAAATCTCGACAATAGACTACCTTCCATAACAGACTACCTTCTATAATAACAAGGCTACCATCTATTGGAGTAACAAAGATATCGACAACTGACTACCTTCTATAATGAGAAGGCTACCATCCATTAGAGTAACAAAAATATTGACAACAAACTACCTTCCATAATGACAAGGCTACCATCCAATAGAGTACCAAAAATATCAAAAAACAGACGACCTTCAATAATGACAAGGCTACCATCCATTGGAATAACAAAAATCTCGACAACATACTACCTTCCATAATGACAAGGCTACCATCCATTAGAGTAACAAAAATCTCGACAACAGACTACCTTCCATAATGACTAGGCTACCATCCATTGAAGTAACAAAAATCTCAATAATAGACTACCTTCCATAAGGACAAGGCTACCATCCAATGGAATAACAAAAATCTCGACAAAAGACTACCTTCCAAAATGGCAAGGCTACCATCCATTGGAGTAACAAATATCTCAACAACAGACTACCTTCCATAATTACAAGGCTACCGTCCATTGGAGTAACAAAGATATCAACAATAGACTACCTTCCATAATGACAAGACTACCATCCATTGGAGTAACAAAAATATCGAAAACAGACTACCTTCCATAATGACAAGGTTACCATCCATTGGAATAACAATTATCTCGACAACAGACTACCTTCCATCATGATAAAGCTACCATCCATTAGAGTAACCAAAATCCAAACGACAAGCTACCTTTCATAGTGACAAGGCTATCATCCATTGGAGTAAGAAAAATATCGACAAGAGACTACCTTCCATAATGACAAGGCTATTATCCATTGGAGTAAAAAAAATCTCGACCATAGACTACCTTCCATAATGAAAAGGCTACCATATATTAGTGTAAGAAAAATCTCGACAATAGACTACCTTCCATAATGGCAAGGCTACCATCCATTGGAGTAACAAAAATATTGACAACAGACTACCTTCCATAATGACAAGGCTACCATCCAATGGAGTACCAAAAATATCAAAAAACAGACTACCTTTCATAATGACAAGGCTACCGTCCATTGGAATAACAAAAATCTCGACAACAGACTACCTTCCATAATGACAAGGCTACCATCCATTGGAGTAACAAAAATCTCGACATCAGACTACCTTCCATAAGGACAAGGCTACCATCCAATGGAATAACAAAAATCTCTACAAAAGACTACCTTCCAAAATGGCAAGGCTACCATCCATTGGAGTAACAAATATCTCGACAACAGACTACCTTCCATAATGACAAGGCTACCGTCCATTGGAGTAACAAAGATATCAACAATAGACTACCTTCCATGATGACAAGACTATCATCCATTGGAGTAACACAAATATCGAAAATGGACTACTTTCCATAATGATAAGGTTACCTTCCATTGGAATAACAAAAATCTCGACAACAAACTACCTTCCATAATGACAAGGCTACTATCCATCTATTATCTATCTATAAAAATCTATGTCCCTGGAAATTACCACAACACCAAAGCTGATAAAATGCTTTCTTGGTCTATTGTATTGGGGTAAAATAGGAAACTCAAAAATATCTTGCACCACATTCATTTGAATATGATGTGGCACTCCCACAATTTTTCACCACATTTTCAATTTTTGTTTTTCAAATAAATCCATGACCAACCATTATGCCTCTCTTCCTCTTCCCCATGCCAAACCATTATTCCTTGCCATTCAATTGGAATATTGTCGCTCATTATTAAAATTCCAAAGTTAAAGAATTGATGTGCAGCCATATTAATCACATGGAGAAACACAAAACGTTTCCATCCTCTCCAAAATTCTTTTATTGATTTGTATTTCATTCAGATCTCTTCATCTGTAATACTTTGTTCTTCTTCATTTCTTCCCTCAACCTTAACGAAGTTGTCCTTAAAACGCATAAATCCGTCGAACGCGATACGTAGCTTTCCATCTCTGGGCGTACGTTTGTGGTACCTCTATTTCATTCCATGTGTTCATTTCAATTATTGATTTGTCTTGATATCATTTGCTAAAAATGGTAGAAATTTGAGATGTGGGTTTTATTTCTTTAAAAATGAAAAGAAGTTATTCTTTCTCCAAGTTTGGATTCACCAGGTAGTCAATTTGATTGTTTGGCCCCTTACTGTTTCAATTTCTTTTTTGTCTGATTTTTTGGAATCATCAAGCTTATGGTTCCTATAGGTATAAACTGATTCTATGCTTTTTCTGTTGTTGTTACAGCTTATAACATCATCTATGGCTCGCCCTCTTGAATTTGTAAAGGACATCAATGAGTCAAAAGATTCATGGAAGATTGCTGTTAGGTGCAGACATGTCTAGCATGTGACGAGTGCTTCAGAAAAGGAACACATTGAGATGATTTTGGTTGATTCTAAGGTATGACGGTGGTGGTTATGTTCGTAATATACCTTCTCAAACCTTTGGGTGTCTGTAATATTGACTTTTTATAATTGTTTTTTTGTAGAGAGATATGATTCAAGCCATTGTATTACCTTTTTAGTTTCAAAATTCAAGGAACATCTTGCTGCTAGATGCTCATACATAATGCAGAATTTCAAAGTGTCTAACAATGATTCTCTTTTAAAACTAATCATAGCTGCTTATGATTTCTATCTTTGTTTTTTGTTGTTTTACTTTTCAGCTTCAATCATTGTTTGATCTTCGTTTTGATTTGCTTAGTTATTTTGTTATATTTTTAACCCATTGATGTATAAACAACTGTACTGTATTTTTTTGGAGTAAACTGATAAAGTTGCTACATTTTATATAAGGAAGTGTTTGGTTTCACTGCAGATTTAGTATAGCTTTTAGCTTTTTTGAGTTGTAATTTTTTATTAATTAATAAAGGTAATATAATTGTAAGTGTGTTGATTTAATGTTTGTTTACGATGCAGACAACGAAAGTGAAGGATACCGGTTCTGCGGTTAAAAATCTGTTATCGTTTATTGAATCTTTGAAGAAGCAAGTAGCTATGAAACATATTGTTTCACTCAAGGTATAATTGCTTTACACATGCTTGTATTTAGTTGTTGATTTTGTATTTGGATTTTTGGTTTAATGTTGGGTGTTCCAAATAAAAAATTCTCTGAATCATAAATTCTCAATTCAACCGATCTAATAAATTAATAACTATTTTGTTTGTGTCTGTTTGTTCTCCGGTATCGACTAATCTGTTTGAAATGATGAGCTTAAGTATATCTTTGGAATTCATGGAGAAATCAAAGAAGTAAGTGCAAATAATTGGTTTTTAACCATCTTAGTTGCTTTTTATTTTATGAAGATTATTCAAGACTATTTGAATATTATGTTTCTAATTCCAGATCTATGAATATCAATAAATTTTACATCCACGGCTTTTTGAGTTTTCTAGATCTTTCAAAATGTTTCTACTGGTTCTATTCATGCAATTGCGAAGACATCAAAATAGCAAATTTTTGAGAGCACATAAGCATTATTGTTTGTATTCTATGAACTTATTTGTTATCAATTGAAGATTTTCTCATGAATGTAATGAAAATGAATTAAATTGAATAAGAAAAGGTTTTGTCTGTGGTCATAAATTTACTGTTATATTGCTGTGTCATTGTATTTTGCAGGTTATTAGGACTTATGCTTTGAACAAAACATGGTGGATAAGTTTTCTGATGGATATTATTAGGGACATTGTTGATGTTAAGGGCAATATCTCTGCCTACAGTAAGTATTATGGAAATATATAAACTTAAAGAAATTTATTTTAATGTTTACCATCTCTACTGACTAATGTATGTTTATAAGAAATTTATTTTCATTGTGTTCTTGACCGCCAAGTCAAAGTCATATGAAGCTATATATATAAATGATTAAAGTTAACCCATATGAAATATTTGATAGTACAATAAATCATTAACACAAATATCATATTTTCAAATATCATATATATGATTGCATATGGAGTCAAACCTAAAAATTGAAGCTATCAACAGAGAAGTAAGGGGATGCTAGATGGATATTTGTTAGTATATGTCGGTTTGTTATAAAGGAGTTATATAATTGGGACATTTTTGGGTGCAGAATTTAAACAATAGACAAAAGCTTGGCTGTGAGAAGGGAACTGGTATCGATAGAGCAAGGATGAATATGACAAAGTAAATTTATAATACATATTTTTATTAGCTTACTTGATAAAACATCTTGAGAAGCTGAAATATCTACTTTTTCTTGCAATCAGAATTTCTAGATTAAGAAATTCAGGGATCTCATGATAGAGTTTCAGGTATTTTAATTCGAACCGCCTAATGCTGTAAGTTCTTTATTCTCATAACAATAGATTTGGCTGATTTCTGTTGTATATATGTGATATCAAGTGTTATTAATTATTTCAAATTTGTTACTACTTTGTTTCAGACGTATAGCGCTTCAAATGAGATTGTAGGAATCTCAATTACCAGTGGAAGAGCTGGAAGTGATGAGTTATGTGTTAATCGTGTGTGTATGTATGTATTTCGAATGGCATATTTTATATATGAAACTGATTTTGTTCTCACGCGTTTGCAGGTTGAATACGTATCGATGCATATGAAATTGATGATGAAAAGGACATGCTCAGTAGGAGCTGTTATTCGCTGAAATTGAATATATGCAGAAGAGGGTTAATATTTTTCTTTGCATTTAAAAAGTGATTATTTAAAAAAAGTACTTTCTCACAATTTCTCTTTGCAACCAATACATCTTTTATTGCGAAACTGCTAAGACCTTAGCTTCATTACATTCTGTTAATGTGGATTCCATTGGTATTGGAAATTACGGGTGACATAATGATTATTGCAGAAGACGGGTAAGTTCTTTGAGAGTGTGCTAATTTACGGTTAAGGTTATGCCTTGAAGAAGATTTTGTTTTTTGTAAATAGATATACTAATGGATAATTTGCTTATTTTAGATTGAGAGATGAGGTAAGCAATATGTGTCTTCAACCAGTGAAGGTAAACCTGCAAGCAATATGAAAATGTATGATTATTGCTAGAATGCATAATTTATTAATTCATCAAATGGTGAAAACATCTTATACACAACAAATATGCCAACTGCAAATGGTACTCTCGGGTTGATATTTATGAGCACATAATTAGCTACAAGTTTCTAAACTGCTGTACAAATTGGACCTTACACAGTGAAAAATATGTGCTATTTAAATTTGATAGGTATCTGAAATTGGAATGGTGAAATTGAATAATAGTGAATTTTTGCTACCATAGGTATATATTGTATTTGTTACAGTGTTGCAATCTCATAAAATTAATGGAAAAACTATGCAAATGGCTGCATACTAGCTCCTTGTGAGATGAAAACAGGAAATTGTACTGGAAGATAACACCCTTGCTGATAGAGAAACGACTTCTCTATACAATTAAAGCTACTATAAAACCATTCAATAGAGTTCACTCCGGCCCCTTACCTCTCCCATGACTTCCTTTATAGCCACCCTCTCATAATGGGTCTATCAAAATTCTGAAACTACATAATAAGTATAGAAGGTTTGATGATGACATAGATAAATTACTTCATGATATTTTTACACAGTTTCTAGGTGCAAGTTATTTTCTATTATGTTGGATTGTGATTTATGTTTCCACTTTATCTAAAATCACTCATCTACTGAATACAATGGTGATTTTACTATATATATATATATATATATATATATATATATATATATATATATATATATATATATATATATATATATATATATATATATATATATATATATATATTGGTTTTCTATGTCATACATATGTCTTCTATACTGATACAACTAATAGCTATTTCAAACTTTATTGTGTTCAGAAAAACCAAATTCTTCCTACTGATAGTAATGAGAGTGATAACAATATGAGGCTATAATCATTTTTTTTCTTTCTGATTTTGTGTCAATTTTTTCCTTCAGGTAAAGTATTTTGGAAATTCGGGTGGTGGCCTCAATAAAAACCTATTTTTGAATGTATATGAATGTTTATGTTACTCTTTTTTTATGATTATTAGTGAATGTATATATGACTGATAATTTATTGCAGTTTTAATAGTCATGTTTTAAATTAATCATTAGTTGTTAAGTTAATCAATAGTTGTAACAGTGATTGTATTAGTATGTATTTTTACTTTTATATTAAACTTTTAAATAGTTTTTATTTATCTTATCCTTTGTATTTTTGGGCATTGGTTTTCAAAGTAGTTGAAGATTTTGAAGGAAAAAAGTCTATACAAATAATCTAAATTATAAATAATTAAACATTAATTTTTATGCTCCATGTATTATTTTGCATTTCTAATTATTTTAAATAAAATATAATATTTAATTAATATTCCATATTAATTATGACCAATAACTTTGCAAAAACCGAGGGGACATGAATGATTAGTATTTCACATTTATTAATGATAATGATTCTATATAATAAGTTTTTCATTTAAAAATTGGTATCCATTAAATATCAAACAAATAATTATTCAATTTAAAATGTTCTTCCGATTTTAAATTATCAGAATTTGAACTGCTATGTTGCATGCTATTGGGAAGTTGTTAAAAATTTAATTATTATTATTTATTATAAATCAATTAAAAATAAACTTTTGGAAATTTAATTGTAGGTAAATCATTTTTTTGTAAATGAAAAATAATTGAAAAATTAAGTTAATTAAAAACGTGGTTATTATATTTCTTTGTAATAGGAAATTATTAAAAACTTAATTATTATTATTTATTGTAAATTAATTAAAATAATAAATGTTATATTATTGTTTAATATGTAATTTTGTATTATCAATAATAAATTTCTATTATAGCAAAAATGAATGTATTATAGAAATAAGTTACAAATGGAAATAAGTTACAGATGGAAATAAGTTACAAATATTTTTATAAACGATAAAAATTTAACTATTAATACAATTGTTTTTAATAGGAATAAGTTAAAAATATTATGGATTCAAAGCACTTATAAATGGGAAAGAATCTCCATGTTGATATAATTATTTGTATAAATGGGAATAAGTAATAATAATTTTTATAAACGTAACAAGTTACAAATATTTTTATAAACGAAAATAATTTAACTATTGATGCAATTGTTTTTTAACAGAAATAAGTTAACAATAATTTTATAAATCGTCAAACAGATTCAAGGCACTTATAAACAAAATGTCTACATGTTGATATGTTAAAAGACTTATAAATGAGAAAGATTTATGTTATACTATAAACACAAATAACTTATTATTTTAACTAATTTCAACTAGATAACTTATTTCAAGGTATCATGGAGTATAGATATTTATTTAGAACTGAAATTTAAGGAGGGGGTGTTGTAAAAATTATAAATATGATATAATAAGAAGGATTTAAAACTCATATTTGAGGGGAAGCTGTCATAAATTTTAGGTTTGGAAAAATTGACTAATTTTTGGATTCAACTGGAAATATAATTTTATTATTTTCTGTAGTTTTAAAATTAACTCATCTGGATTCAACTGAGTTGTGTTAACTCATCTGAATTCACGGGTATATGTGAACGTATCTATGAGATATCAGTTGTAGACGGGTCAATTTAATGTCCATCTTTTAATTATATCTTTTATTGTGATATATATAATTTAAATTATAAAAATGATTGTACGATTTATTATAAATACGAATAAATACTTAAAAGTTGGTAGTGAAAAACATGTAATGTGAATTTTGGTTTAAAATACTATTTGACTCAAAATAGATCGAATTTTGATTGATCAATTATTTTAGCTTATCTTAATATATATATATATATATATATATATATATATATATATATATATATATATATATATATATATATATATATATATATATATATATATATATATATATATATATATATATATATATATATATATAAATTTAAAATCAAAATTAAATACATGTGGTTCATTCATTTACAAGTTCAACATTGAAATTTATAATATTACGAAGTTTGGCCAACATATGGTATTGATGTGACATTAACTTTTTTAACCTCTACCCATAATTGTTAAGATTTGGTAGCATATACTGTAATGATGAAACACAATTAATGTTATATAGCAACTTCACTGATGCAATGCACTGTACCCTATCTCATATCCAATGTACAAATAGAGTATCTGAGTACACTTAAAAATTAGAATACAAATGTTATGAACTGCAAAACCAAACAATTCCATATAGGTTTGTTACTCTTACAGTTGGATTGTATTTGCCTACTCCTGTATTCAGTCATGGCCAGTTGTATGTAGCCATTTCAAGAGTTACAAGCAAAAGTGGTCTAAAGATCTTAATACATGATAGTATGAATGTATCAACATCTATCACTACAAATGTTGTATACAAAGAAGTTTTCCAATCTCTTTGTTGATCGGTAAGTACATAATAACAAATATTTTCTTTAATATAAATTGTTTCCGTAAATGCTGTCTAATTTTTGCATAATTTATTGTGCAGGTCAAAAAGTTGAAAACATCGTTTCCAAGCTGGTTGCGTTGTATCTGAAGACTCGTGATAGTTTCTTATTTTGAAGAGTCATCACAGTTTCTTATTTTGTTACATAATCATTATTTCAGTTTACATTTTTTAATGTTGTCAAATAAGTTTGATACACTAAATTTGGCCGAATTAGATGAACTTTTATTGAATTACATAAAAACGAATTTACTGTTACATGACAACATTAGTTCCACGTTTTATGAATTCTCGACCGGCCCCGTGCGACAGCACGGGTTATCAACTAGTTGGAGTACAAAGATATCGACAACAGACTACCTTACATAATGTCAAGGCTACCATCCATTGGAGTTACAAAAATATCGACTAAAGACTACCTTCCATAATGACAAGGTTACCATCCATTAGAATAACAGATATCTCGACAACAGACTACCTTCCATCATGATAAGGCTACCATCCATTGCAGTAACCAAAATCCAAACGACAAGCTAACTTCCATATTGACAAGGCTATCATCCATTGGAGTAAGAAAAATATCGACAAGAGACTACCTTCCATAATGACAGGGCTATTAT